CGGGTCCGGAGACTGGCAGCGTCCCTTGTAGCAGTAGCCGGTGCCGTGCTCACAGCCGTGCCCGTCCTGTACGTACAGGTCGGGGGGGCAGGACGTGGAGGACCCGTTGCAGAACTCGGGCAGGTCACACTGCGCGTCGGCGGGGGGGCGGCACTGTGAGGTTTTCGGCTTGAACTGGCAGAGGAGGCAGAAAGGACTCTTCTCTCCATCCTTACACACCCACCAGCGCGGTCCCCTCTCAGGCCCCACACAGACCCTCCCGATGCTGTCCCGAGACACACCCCCGGTCCCTCGGGACCACCTCTGAGGCGCCTGGCACGCAGGTCAGCACATTCACACTGGAGTGACAATCCCAGTCTTCCCCCCGTAACATTCCTCCCGGGGGTTTCAGGGAGCTGAGCTGGGAAGCCCTTCCCCGGGAACCTCTCCGACTGCACAGCAGAAAGTTTGTCTCCATCCTTCAGCGCTGGAACATACTATTTCTCCAAAAATAAAGAATGACCTTGCAATAATTATAAAAACATGCCTTACCTGACATTCCTTACAACATAATCCAGAGGAACATTTCACTCCCGGCTTAAACCGACATCTTTTAGTACAGCATTTATCCTTCAAGCATGCCTGGGGACACATCGCAAAACGTTATTCTACTTTTTTGTTCCCCCTGAGGTTTTTACTGTCAGAGGTTCTCCTCTTCCTTCTTCTCCCCATAAAGCTACACTTGGGCAATATCTGGCAGAAGAAAGTGGGCAAAGCTGCCGTCAGATCGATGCCGTCATAGAAATGATCTAAAACTCAACATAATCCTTCTTGGGCTGGCCTCTACTTCAGCTGTGCCCTTAGTCTCAAGGGTTCATTATTCTAAACGTACGAACAGTACGAATGTACGTATTTAGCCATAATCCCGCAGCACCCACCTCCGCTGCCCCGCAGTCACACTGCTCGCCGGGCTCCACGACACCGTTGCCGCAGACGGCCTTTCTCCGGTAGGACAGTCCGGTCAAGCGGGGTCTATTGAAAAGGCACGCGCCTCCATTGTGCTTCAGGAAGGTTTCGAAGTCCCTGATGCTGCAGCTGCTAAAGGCTTTTGCCCCACTGAAACGTCTAAAATAAAGCGATTATCCACACTTGTTTGTGTTACCACATCTACCGCTGTTGACTCTCTCAAAATCTCTGTGCAATTCAAGAACTTGTTCAGACGCTGGCACAAGGCGAAATGGTCCCCTGGGCGTCTTTCTGTTCACTTGTCAAACCAGATTTTACAACCCATCATTAATAGAGACTGAGAAGCATTCAGAAATACCTTGCTTTTGGAGAGAAAAGGTCTCTTCTTTCAAAGTAAGCATTGAATCACTAATTTATTCTTTTTTTTCCTTCTTAAAGGAATAAAAGAAGCTATTCCCAATTTCTTGTAGTTTTTGCAACAGAATGACATTTGTTGAGGACACCTCTGATGAGAGGACACCCCGCAATCATCCCCACCACGCAACTGCAGCACCGCACACACTCGGCCAGGTGGTGGGTGACTTGGGGCTGCCGGAGCTGCCTGGCGCTGGCCACAGCCACGGGACCGACCTGGCAGCTGCCGGGGACCCCGATCTCCCCCAGCGCGTCCTGCCCCCCCGCCTCATCTGCCCCGGCCACCCCAGCCCCCGCGCGCCGGGGGGGCAGGGATGGGATGTGACCAACTCACAGCGCCTCTGGGCTCATGAGGCAGATGCGCCCGGGGCAGTGGCAGTCTCGGGAGTCGTCGTAGCTGATGCCCAGGCTGCGTCCCAGCAGCTGCGCCAGGAGGACGGAGAAGGACTCCAGCGTCACGGCCCCTTGGTACTGGAGGAAGGAGAGAGCAGGGCTGCCGTGGCTGCGCTTTCCACGCGGAGATCCCAGCTCCGGCCACGGATGCTCCTGCCCGTCCCTGTCCCTCCCGCCCATGGGCGAGCTCCGGCTTCACGGACACGTGGGCTGGTGGGGGACAGGCAACACCGTACCACGGCCACTGCGCCAGCCGCGTCTATT